AGAGAAGAAATATTGAATTTAAAAAGAAGAACATCTGAAACTGAAATACTGTCAACTGAGCAACAAATAAATGTAAGCTTCTCAACGTATCCATCAACTTCGAGAACTCAGAACGTTGGCAAAGCTCAAGCTCCAATTTCTTCTTCATCACTTTTTTTGTTTCACAATTTACGTACAAACATTGCAATTAAAAAAACTGACAACCCATTAAAGCTTTGTAAAAATATGATTTTTGCTTTTGTGCTATTAAACAACTGTCGAATTTCAGTGAATCTTAATCGTTAATCAATTTTTTTGGCCTTTCCGATCCTCTAGTTATTGAAATCAGTGCAACAACCGATATTCAACAGCTCATCGTGTTCAAACTTTCATTTAAGAACAATATCCGGTAGCGCTTCTGTCATCAACTTTTAATTCCCACCCTATAAGCCGTCAAAACAGCCAGTATCAATAGAATGTATACTGAACACTAGAATTCAATCATCATCAGCACTCAGTGCTTCTGTTTCATTGCTATAAGATCGTATGATAAAAAATCTGTTACAAGAACAATTTGCAGCATAAAATCTTTTACTTCTCGATCGATCTACAATACAGATGAATGAACAAATAAACAGGGAAGAAAAGAACCAATCATAAGAAGTAATAGTTTCATGTGAACAGTCCATATTGTGGAAAGTAGTTACAGAATGGCATTCATAAACAGAAAAAAGAAGATGCCCTATGCACCAAAAATTTGTATACATTTGTTACCAGTTCATTGTAAAACAAAATTATCAGCAAAAACCAAAAAAAAAAAAAGAAGAAAAAGCAATTAGTGGGCAAAGGCATAACTAGACAGCATCAAAAAAAAGTCTGGAAATAAAGAAGTATAAGCAGAAGGCAAATGACAGAAAAAAATAACAACTAAAATGCAGATGTTCTCAAATTTTTTTGCAAATTTTAACATAACATTATGCAAAAAAAAAAGGAAGAAAGAGACTAAAAACTAAAAAAAGAAATACAAATTTCCTTTTTAAACTTTTCTCTTGTCCAAATTATACAGATTCAATAAGAACAATCTTCCACGAGTCCGAAATAAACTACTGCCCCGTATAAACAGTTGTTGTTCCTCAAACAATTCTTCTACTTTTGCTTTTTTCCCATCCCATTTCCCTTTACGTTTCCTTCCCTCCTTCCCCTCCCAACCCCGTCTACATCATTCAAATTCCTATTATCTCCACTACTATCACTATAACCAACAGCAACAATAAAATGAACGTATATATATATATATATATATATATATATATATATATATAGGCAAAAATGCTAACTCAAGGCGGATACTGGATAAGACTGTTTTGTGTTTATATATACGTTTGTTACCAGTAGATTTTAGAACATTAAAAATCTGAACAAAGCAAACAAATTTATTTCTTTATCTTTTCTGATAAAAAAGCTGTCAGAACTTTTTCGCTCCTCAATTATTCTTCAATCGTCCTATCCTTCTTCAAAAATATAGTGGAGATCTTGTTTGAAAAGTTTTTTTCACATATAGATAAAAATATGCAAACATACACAAAATGCTTTTTTGATAAAAATTTCAAGAACAATAGAGAAAAAAAGTTGAGTAAACAAAAGTTAAAAAAAAATGTAGCAAAAATAGAAAACTTATAAAAATAGTCATTATTTGACCATATTTAAAAACACTCCATTCACAGCTGCCTTTCTGCTTTTTTTTTAACTTTTTTTTTGCTTTTCACCACTTTATTTTAATCACTGCTCAATAGTAGAAATAAAAAAGAACAAAAATGAAAAACTAACTGTTTATGTTTACTAAAATGCCATTTTAAAAGAAGACTAACCATCGCCATCGTTGCCGTCACCACTAACCCCAAATAACATCATCATAATACTGTTCACCACTGCTGACAGCTATTTGGATAAATCGTTAATGATAATGCATAAATAAGTGAAGAGAACAGAAAAAAAAGCTATCCGAAGTTGACCAGAACAAAAACCAACAACTACTTAGACCGTAAACAGAAAAATTTGCTTAAAAAATTTTTAAGAGGACTAAGAAAACCATCAAAAGACAGACACAAATGGAGGAAAAAAAAGAAATACCAAAAACTAAAAAAAGCAAATCAACAACTACTCAAATATCAAACAATAAATTTATAAAGAAAAAAAAAAGGAAAAAAGTCATAAAAGGATCAAAGCACCAGAAAACGAGTGAAAGTGAAAGAAGATAAAAAGAGCATAGTATCTATACAGAAATCTCTAAGATGACAATACTGCAAAAAGATTAATTGTTAGTTGTTAAACGATTTGATATGAAAGATGAAAAACTACGGTAACAGTGTTCACCTACGAACTGTACGTACATAACAATTAATTCTTCAACGAATTAAGATTTTTTTTGAATCAACAACAAAACTATTTGCTATCAAAGAATATAAATTTAAAAAAAAACAGAAAAAAAAAGAGAATGATAGAAAAGCAAAGCAAAACTAACAGTGATCATCAAATTGCCTAAAAAAAATCAACTTATACAACTATCATTGATTTCTAAATATTTGGCCCAAATTGAGGATGTTTCTGCCAACTAACACAATAACATATGCAATGATCTGCTGCTGCTGCTGTTGTTGTTGCCGCTGATGTTGATACCATTTGAAGACACTTTTGTTGTTGCCGTTATTGTTATTGTTGTTGTTGTTGTCGTTAGTAAATATAATTTGGAGACAATCCTTTTCGTGGCTTTTCCGTAGAACTGTAAAAAAAATTTCGATAATTTACTAAGCAACTAAAAGAAACTACAATAATAACAGTGGTTAAAATAATTTAATCAGTTAAGAAGTAATTTGTAAAACAAGTGCATGCAAGATTATAAAGAAAAAAGTAAAAGAAAACACACTAATTAATTTACACTTCACACTTTGTATTTTATAAGAAAAAAAAA